CTGTGCCCCACTGTGACCTCGATGGGCAGCAAGGGACCGCTGGCCTGGCTGTGGCTCAGGTGGACTCCATCACCCCCTGCCGTTGTGCCCTGCTGGGACGATGCTCCTCTTGAGCACTGCCATGGCACAGTGTGAAGATTCTCACTGAGGCACCTGCTGCTGGTCGGCTGTGAGATTAGGGTGGTGTCAGGGAGCTGCAGCTGACTCTGGGGGCTGTGTTAGGGGCTTCCTACAGAGCAGACCTAGGCAAGGATAGGAATGTTGCAGCTGTGGGTGCCTTGGGGCTGTATCCCTTGCCCTGTCCCCACAGGCAGAGATGAACAGCAGGGCTCAGGGAGCTGCAGCACCCAGGTACAAGTGGTGTGTGAGAGCCAGGACACACCAGAGTATCCTCCCGCCTCCGCTTTTCCCGTGCCCCAGATGATGTGGCTGCCCGTGGGGGAGGTGGGATGAGTGTTTCTGGGATGAGTATCTCTGGGATGAGTCTTCCGTGGTAATATTGTTAGTTTCCATCTCCTGGAGTTAACCTTTGTGGAGAGCTGTCAGTATCTGCTCACCCGGCCACAAACCGTATGCACAAGGCATGAGCCGATGGCTTTGGCAGCGGTTGGTGATGCTTCGGCCTGTGCCACAGTGCTGGGCTTGGATAAAACCTCTGGCTCTGCGTCTCTTGCCGCAGTGCAGCCCTGTCACCATCCCCGTCCCTGGCCCTGCCAGGCAGGAGGCAGAAGCCATGCAGAGCCCCTCTCCTGGTGCTCCACCACCCCAAACAGACAGGGCTCTTTGGGCTCTCGCTGCCCTGTGATTTGGTGAGCTAAAGCCTGTGTTGGTTTTGAGCTGTTATTTGTGGTGGTGATGGGTTGGGGCAGACTGTTTGCAGGTGTTTCTCTCCCTGTTTTGGTGTCGCTGGCAGTGTTGGGCCCTGTGGTGACAGTCTCTGTTGGGTGGCAGTGGGTGTCTGTGCCCAGCCCCAGCTGGTTTCCGTAGCCCCCGATCGCTGCAGTGGTGCTGCAGTCGGGTGTTGCCCAAGAGCCGCAGGCTCAGCATCAGCAGTTGCCAGTGCTGCAGCCTGTGCAGCTCAGTGCCTGTGCTGCTGCTGCTGAGCCTTGGCCTCTCCCTGGGTGCTGCTCGTGCTGTGGCTCTGCAGGGCACAGTATATCAGCCCGTGCCTGTGCTGGTCGCTCCAGGAGCCTCTGTGCCTTTGACGGCCCCTGCCCTGCTCCCTGGGCATCGCCACCAACCTGCTCGGGACGCCGTGATGTTGGTTTGGGGTCACCTGGCTGTCTCCCCCAGGCCCCAGCTGGTGCATGATGTGGATGCGTGGCCTATCCTGTGTAGTGCCCCGTGCCTCAGTTTCCCTGCGCCCGTGCAGTGCTCCCCCAGCTGCAGGCTGTGACTGGAGCAGGGAGCGGCGATCACCACGTGCCATTAGCTCGGTACTCCTGCCCCTCTCTTGATACTGTTCAGCAAGTATGACTGTTTACATAGCACATTGTTCGAAGTAATTCAATTTACAGGAATGATCTTTACTTCTAAATAAAAAATTAATACAGTTCTTTTGTTTGTGCGTTTATATAAACGAGCTGGCACAAAGTCAGTTTACAATGTTCCCATCTGAAGTAAATTAGTGAAGTCTCTTAGCTAAGTCTCTGTATAATTTCAGCACAGAAATGTCCTCTTTTTTTTTTTTTTTTCTTTTTTTGGTCTCCTATGGTCAGGCTGAAAAATTTAAACCTTTCTTTTCCTCCCAAATAGTTTTGCAATTAGCAATTCCAACACAGGATGGTCTTTCTGTGTCTCGCTGAGCCCATGGTGGGTGGCAGCTCTGTAGTGTGGGGTTGGGCATGGGCTGTGTATTGGCCATGGTGGCCTGATCTAGACTCTACCACTGCCTGTCCACAACACCCAGGGCTGCTCTGGCCATGGAAAATGAGGGGTTTGTGGTGTGGGGTCTCTGCTGCCTTTCAGTGTGATCATTTCTTCTTGGTGTTTTGTGCCTGTGCTGGTAGGTGCTGGAGTTGCTCGGGCAGGGCTTAGCAGTGGCTGCACTCCCCACCATGGTGGGGTTGGTTGGTGACCCCAGTGAGCCCGAGGTGGTGGTAGTGCTAGGGGTGTGTGGGGAAGTGTGGCAGCTGTGATTGGGATCTGTCGGAGCCAGTGCAGACTCTGTGGCGGCAGAGGAGATTCTCCCTTCTCCTCTGATGCTCTCACTGCTGCTCATTGCATTTATTTTTTTTTTAAGAAGGAGAAATACTGAAATGCAGAAGTTAAACCAAGGCTATGGCTGGCATCTCCTGGCAGGCACTGGCCCAGGCGTTCAGGTCTGTGGGGGCCACATCTGCTGCTCCCTGTGAGTCACCCACCCTTGGCTGTCAGCATCCTGGCAGGAATGGGGGTTTCAGGAGCACAGAATCGCCTGGCACAGGAATCCTGGCTGTCTTATTGCCTCTTCATTGTGCTGAGCTACCTTCCAGCATAGCTCACTCCAGCACAGTCATCATCCTCTTGCAGTGAGGAGACCTCCTCAACCGAGGAAAAAGCAGATGCGTGCGCCTGTACGTGTGAGGAGAACACACATGGTTTGATTTATGGCAGCGGGAGACAACCAGCTCTGACACAGTTTCCATCTGAGTCTCACACTGGCTGTTATCAAAATATAAAACCCACGGGCTTGGAAGCTGATTCACAGTGCTGCGTCACCTCAGCCCCTTGGCCGCGTTTGGTGCCTCGGGCTGAGGGAAGTTACACCCCAGTCCTGCCTGCACGCTGCCGTGCCAGTGCCACGCTGCCCGGCCGCAGGGCACGGTCCGGTTCTGCTGTGTGTCTCCCTGAACGGCTGTGTGGGATTTGGGCTGCTCAGGACGTCCGCAGAGACCGGTTCTGCTGTGTGTCTCCCTGAATGGCTGTGTGGGATTTGGGCTGCTCAGGGTGAGCGATGCTGTTGTCAGCAGCGCCTGCATCCCAGAATTGTGCTCTGTGCCTGCCCTCACCTGCCTCTTCTCCTCGCAGCCGGTTCGGTACCAAGTGTGCCCGCTGTGGCAGGCAGATCTACGCCAGCGACTGGGTGCGGCAGACCGGTTCTGCTGTGTGTCTCCCTGAATGGCTGTGTGGGATTTGGGCTGCTCAGGGTGAGCGATGCTGTTGTCAGCAGCGCCTGCATCCCAGAATTGTGCTCTGTGCCTGCCCTCACCTGCCTCTTCTCCTCGCAGCCGGTTCGGTACCAAGTGTGCCCGCTGTGGCAGGCAGATCTACGCCAGCGACTGGGTGCGGCGAGCGCGGGGCAACGCCTACCACCTCGCCTGCTTCGCCTGCTTCTCCTGCAAGCGGCAGCTCTCCACCGGCGAGGAGTTCGGCTTGGTGGAGGAGAAGGTGCTGTGCCGGATCCACTACGACACCATGATAGAGAACCTCAAGCGAGCGGCAGAGAACGGTACGCAGCGCCGCGGTCACGGCCTCGCCCAGGGACCGTGCGGGGAGTCACTGTCCCGTGTGCTGACCCATGTTGTGGGGTGTCGGGGTTGGTCTTGCTGGCAAAAAGGGGTGATGGGTGGCCCTGGGGGAACTCGAGCACGAGGCCTGGGCTGGCAGTGGGCTCATGGGGGTGGCCAGTGTGCTGGCAGCACCTGTGGCTCCCGGG